TCAAGACGTTCCCTTTCGTGAGGGAAATGGAGAAGCCAATCCGCTCCAGCGCCGTACACAGGATGTCCGTGCTACGGCTGATGATGAGCTCCACGTCCCGGAGCCTGCCGTGGGCCGCCAGCGTGAGGTCGTCCACGACCACGAACAGCTTCACAGACTGCCAACTCTTCAGCAGGGCGTCGAGCGGCTCCAGCAAGACCACCCTCAGCAAGGTCGTCGCGTAGCTGCAGCCCGCGATGATGGAGAGCCCGACCGTGAAGCTCGCCGTCTTCCACTTGCCTACGCACAGCCTCCTCTTGCCTCCGTATACCTTCAGCAAGAGTTTGAGCCGCCTCAGCGGGAACCCGTGCCTCCTGCAGGCGGCGACGAGTCCTCGGTGCGTGACCCGCTCGTACGCCTTGCTCAAGTCCAGCATGGACGACAAGCTGTGCTGCTGCATCGCCGCGGCGTGCTCCGCGTCGAAGGCCTGCTCCCAGACGGCGTCCTCGCAGGAGCGTCCAGCACCGCCGAAGAAGAAACTTCTGTTGTGGTGTCTCTCCCACTCCCGAGCCTCCTCGTGTCTGAGGCGCCCCAGGAGTCGAACGAGACCACACAGCAGGCCTATGGGCCTCCAGCCGCCGTCGGGCTTGGCCAGGAAGAATATGAAAACCTCCTCGGCCTGCGACGGAATCCTCAGCAGGTACTCCACCCAGTGGAGGATCAGACAGAGCGCCTCCAAGCCCCCGTCGCTGAGGTGCCCGAAGGAGGAGGGCTTGATGCAGTCAATCCCCGTCGCCGTGGCTGCCTTGAACTTCCCTGCGGCCGCGACCACGTCCGGCACGCGGGGGTGGGGAGGGCAGTCCTCCAAGAGATCGGGCGGCAGCACCTCGTCCAAATCCAGCGGCCCTTCGAGCCCGTAGCGCCACACCTGCTGGTACTCGGCCTTGAGCGCGTCGAGGGTCGCCCCGATCCCAGCTGGCCCTCCGACACCTGCCTCGACCTCAGGGTCAGTAGGCTCCTGGACGTCTGGCGACCACCCAATCGGAGCTCTGCAGAAGCCGTGCGCGGCACCCCCGCTGTCTTTCACCGCGTCCTGGGCCCATGCTCGCCACTGCTGGCCACGCTCCTTGCGGAACTTCGACTCCAGCTTCTCTGCATGCCCGCGGGCCCGCGCCTGCACCTCGACGACGTCGCTGTACGCCAACCTGCCAAGCCGACGGAGGAGCCACCTCATGGACCTCACCTCGCTGCTGCCGACGTCGACGTCGCCCAGCTCCTGCGCCGCGAGCTTGGCGACCCTCCTCTGGAGCTCGTCCAGACGGATGCACATCCTATAGCGTCGGCCGCCATGCCGAAGTTGGCGGCGGGCCTCGAGCATCTCCCAAACCGTGGTGCTGATCTTGCGCCAGCGCGCAGCGACAGGGCACCCTCTGGCGAATGGACCTCCCGTCGGGAGCCTGACGGCCTCCTTCTCGAATACCCTCTGCTCGCTGCGCCCGATGTACCGCGGTCCCTCATCCTCGAGGTGGTAAGCTCCGATGAGGTCCAGCTCGAGCAATCGCATGAACTCCGCGTACGCCGTGTTCAGGCCGATCTGCGCCGCCGCCTTCGCGCTGCAAGCCGCCGACGAACTCCCAGTACTTGTCGGGCTCACCAGGCCCGTGGGGGCAACAGGGGTGCCCCGATCCCCATGAGGAAGTCCATGTGGCGACTTCTGCTGGCCCTTCTCAGGGCCAGTGAGTGCGCCGCTTGACGCGGAAGCCCCCGTACCGGCCCTCGCCGAGGAAGAAGACGAAGAAGCACCCTGAGTGGTCAAGTCTCCGCCCGAGCGCCCCAGCAACGGCCCCGGCGGCCCGGCGGCGGCCGGGGCGGGCCCGGGGCGGGAAACTTGAGTGGCCGAGTCTCTGGCCGGGCACCCCGGCGGCGGCCCCGGCGGCCCGGCCGGCCCTGGCGGCGGCCCGGCGACGGCCCCGGCAGCGCTCCGAGCGGCCCCGGCGGCGCGCCAGGCGGCCCCGGAGGCGCTCCCGGCGGTCCCCGGCGAGTTTGCGTCAAGATTTTCATGGACACAAATCGCGAGCCCTGCGACGCTGGCGGCCGCTGCGGCCTCGGCGGCGCCTCCGACGGCCCCGCCAGCGCCCACGGCGGCGTGCCCAGCGGCCTCGGAGGCGCTCCCGGCGGCCCGGAGGGGGGCCCCGGCGAGTTTGCGTCAAGATTTTCATTGACACAAATCGCGGGCCCTGCGACGCCGGCGGCCGCGGCGGCCTCGGCGGCGCCTCCGACGGCCCCGCCAGCGCCCACAGCGGCGTGCCCAGCGGCCTCGGAGGCGCCCCCGGCGGCCCCGGAGGGGGGCCCCGGCGAGTTTGCGTCAAGATTTTCATTGACACAACTCGCGGGCCCGGCAGCCTTCTCAAGCTGCCGAAAGGCGTCCACCGACCGCCTGAGCACGCCAAGTAAAGGCTCCCAGTCGGGCGGCTCCCGACGAGGCCCCACGGGCCTGGCACCTGGAAAGACACGAGGCGCTCGCATGACCAGCTGCTCCTCGTCCGTCTCCTTCCCTCCAAGCTCCAGCGTGACGGAGTAGTGCGGCGCCAGCACGCAACTCCGTCGCCTGCACCCCTTGACGCGGCTGGCTAGGCCCGTACTGACCACGAAATAATCGATTTCGGAGCCGCTGCCGATCCTGCAGGTGTTCTGCCCGCAGCTCGCGATCATGCCTCCGACCTGCTGCGTCCAGCCCCACTCCTCGAGCGCCGCTGGGTCGCAGTTCCAGTCGCCGCCAATGACGTACTGCACATCCAGGCTCTTGATGTACTCGCCGAGCTGCGCCAGGATGACCTTGCTTTCCGCGTCCAGCCCCGAACCTGTGACCAGGTAGACCGAGACGCACAGCACGCCGCCCGGGACCACCGCGTTGACCCACTTCGCGATGACCCGCTCCTTCGGCAGCGAGACCTTGCTGCGCGGCGCCTGGCCCATGCCGATGTGGCCACGGCAGCCCACGCCCACGCCACAGGAGAGCCCGCCACGCTCGGTGCGGACCGACTCGCCGACTGAGACCTTCCAGCCCTCCTTGCGACAGAGCTGCTCGGCCTCCTCGCGGCCACCTGGCTCGACGCCCACCTCCTGGAGGAAGATGACGTCGCCCTTCGCCTCCTGGTTGAGCCACTTCAGGAGGCTGCCACGGCTGGTGGAATTCGCCGTGGTGAAAGCCCACCGCTTGGGCTCAGGCCCCGGCGGCCCCTTCAGCAGGGGCGCCGGCCCCTGGTGCTGCTCGCCCTCCCTCGCCTCGCAGCCGCTTGGGTGCAGGGAGGCCTCGAGCGAGGAGGAGGGCGGCGATCTCCTGCTGCCCGTCCGCCCCGAGCTGCTCGAAGGCGGCTGCGAAGTCGGAGCAGTCCATGCCGTCGCCGCCGGCACTTCCTGCTGCGCCTCCAGCGGCCTGTGAACCGCCGCCACCTCCATGGGCATGAGGAGGAGGAGGAGGAGGAGAAGCACCATCACCCACCACGATGACCTCGGCAGTGGCCGCCTCGCGCGCGGCAGCTGCCTCCAGCCGATGCTTGGCCGCCGCGGCATAACGACTGAGCTTCTCCACCGTGGCCCCCAGCTCGACCGCCTCCTGGCCGTCGAAGTGCGGGCGGAGAGCCGAAACGTACTGCGCACCCAGCAACGCCTGCGCCACCAGCTGCTTGTCCTCCGTGATCTGACTGGGCGCCTCGGGCTCCAGCCCTGCGCCCTCCATCTGGCGCGCCCGCTCCAAATCGGACTGCGCAGCAGTGAGGGCCTCCTGAGCCGTCGTGCACTCGGACTGCGCGATCGCCCAAGCGTCCTGGGCCTCCTTGAGCGCGTCCACCGCAGCGTCGGCCGCCTTCCTGGCCTTGTCGAGCTTGGCCTGGGCCTTTTTCTCGCGCCACATCGCGGTCTGGACCACCGAGTAGTGCGTCTTGGGCTTCGGCTCCTTCGCCTCGGGCACCGCTGCTGAAGGCTTGAGCTTGAGCTTGTCCGCCTCCGACAACGCGATGCCAAAGCCCTCGAGCGCCGCCAGCAGCTCGCTCCCCGTAGCCTTGGGAGGCTTGGGCGGGGCCTCAGGCCGCTCGGCGGTGCCTCTCGCACCTCCAGCTGCCTGTGCATCCGCGGCCTCCTTGGTCTTCTTCTTCTTCTGCTTTGCGCCAGCGCCGCGGGCACCATCAGGCGCCTCGGCCCCAGCAGCCGCCTCGAGCGCACGCTGGCGGATTGCCAGCGGTGCCCCTTTGCCACAACAGCGACACACCAGGCGGCTGGCCCAGTTGTGCGCCTCACCACACGGGCACCCCCAAGGCGGCCCACGGGGGCCAGGGAGCACCACCGCCGTGCTGCCAGCGACTGCCGCCAAGCTCGCACGCCTGTGCCAGGGGGCGGGCACGGGCGGCTGGGCTGCGCCGCCGCCGCCGCCCCCACCTTTGCCGCCGCCGGCGGCGCCTGGGCGACGAAGGAGGGAAGCCTGGCCTCCCCGCGCCGCCTGCCCATCGCCGCCTTTCATGAAAGAAGGTTTCTGAACTGGCCCCTGCAGACGGAGCCGCTCTGAATCACGCCTGCAGAAACTCCTCGGCCGCAGCCTAAAGTCAGAACAGAACGGCTTGAGCCAAAATGGCTACGGACTCCTCCTCCCCTCCTCCTCCTCCTCCTCCTCCTCCTCCTCCTCCTCCTCCTCTCCTCCCTCCTCCTCCTCCTCCTCCTCCTCCTCCTCCTCCTCCTCCTCCTCCTCCTCCTCCTCCTCCTCCTCCTCCTCCTCCTCCTCCTCCTCCTCCTCCTCCTCCTCCTCCCCCACGTGGCAAACAGCAGAGACTTGCAGCACTCCTCCACGCCGCGCCCCCCCCCCTCCATCGCCCCCCTCCGCGCCCCTCTCGGCCCAGGCGGCCCCCGAGCACCGGCGCCCGCGCGACCCTCCCACCCCCCAGCGCCGGCCGCCAGCACCCCCGCCCTAGGCCAGGCAGCCAGCCCGTCGGGGGGGTGGGCGGGCGGGGGCAGCGGCGGCGGCCCGGGGCATGGCGGAGGACGAGGAGCCGCCTGCGGCCGCGGAGGAGCCGGGCGCGGAGGAGGGCGCCGCCGAGGAGGCCGAGGAGGCCGTGCCCGAGGAGGAGGACCAGGAGGAGGAGGAGGAGGAGGAGCAGGGCATCGACGAGGCCCCGGTGGAGGCTGCCGCGGGCGGCGGCGCGCCCGGGGGCGAGGCCGAGGACGGCGGCGACGGGGTGGAGGCCGAGGCCGAAGACGGCGGCGCACCTGGGGACGAGGCCGACGATGGGGTGGAGGTGCAGGAGCACCTCAGGGACTCGGTCGAGGGTTCCCTGCGGCTCAAGCGGCTGCTCAGCCGCGACGAGGACGCTGGTGGCGGCAAGAGGCTGAAGCTCGGCAACGACGACGACGACGAGCAGCGCCCCATTGTGCAGGCGAAGATCCGGCAGCTCATGACCAGGTGGGGTGCCCTCCAGGACACCACGATGAAGCACGTGCTGGAGAACCTCTCCCTCGAGGAGCTCTCGCACCTGCTCTCCAGCGGCTTCGTCCCGAACATGATGGACGCCCGCAAGAGCCCCGCGGAGCTCACGGCCACGCACTGCAAGAAGCTGGCCGAGCAGAAGCTGGGTGTGGGCACGCAGGTGGACGTCGTCGCGGCGTTCAGGGCCAGGTGGAAGCTCGACGCCCCCTCCGAGAAGACGCTCCGCGAGCTAAGCCATAAGGACCTCAGATTTGTTTTCGACCACTACGACTCGCTGACGCCCCTGGACGACGTCATAGCCAAGGCCGTGGACGAGCTCCCCGAGGACGACACCACCATCGGGGCGATGCCAGATGGGCCCGGCGTGAAGACGGTGGGCAGGTTCAACAGGCTCGAGCTCATCGACCCTCTCGCGGACTCTGCTGTCTTCGGGGACGCCAACTTGACTTTCTCGGTGAACTTGGCCATTCACCGCAAGGACCTGGGTCACGTGGGCCGCGTCATCGCCACCACGTTCGAGGAGGTCGACACCCTGCGGGAACGGTACAAGGAGATCGACGAGAGCATCCACTTCCTCGAGGAGCACCACGCGGAGGTCTACCACGGCGTCGACTGCACGCGCATCGCTATCGACCCCCGCTTCGAGGGCATGGAGGGCTCCCTCGGCGCCGTTTACTACAACTACCCGCACTCGGGAGCGATCCAGGGCTTCTTCGACAGCCACCCCATGGTCAACTGGCGGCACGAGAACCTCATGCGCCTCTTCTTCCGGGCGCTCCGGTCCTTTGTGAAGCCGGGCGGGTCTGTGAAGGTCGCCTCCAATGCCAGGGCCGTCGGCGTGCGGTATTCCTACATTATCGGCGGTGCGCTGGAGAATGAGTTCCTACACGTCGAGACCATGCCATTCTTGGAGTGGCATCTTCATAGGTACGGCCGATCCTACGGGGACCGTCGAGACGTGTACAAGCGTCCAGACGCGAAAAATAACCAAAGCTATAACGCACAGAACGCCGACACCGACATGGTTTATTGTTTCGTGTATTCGCCCTCCGGCAACGCACTCGGAAAGCAGCAGGTCCGGTTGCCGCCGACGCTCAAGACGCTTAGCCAGTGCGTCGATGGCCCGTTCTGGGGACGGAGCCCAGCCGACAAGGTCAGGCTTGCCACACAGCTGCACGAGCGTTTTATGAAGGAAGTTTCTGGAACTCACGTGGGATGACGGATCCGACGCAGAAGACCTAAGAAGGCACAGCACAAGACACAAATGTCTGACGGATCCGCGCGGCCTTCTTGGATTTGCGCTGGACCCCCCTCCCCCCGCGCCGCCAGGGGGGTCCAGCGTTAAACCAGGCACGTCTCCCTCTACAGGAGGAATCTTCTAAAATTGTCACAGAATAGTCTGGGGACGATTTCTCTTACTATGTTGGAGTATGTTTGCATATGTTGTGGCCATGTTCATTGTTCTTCCAGGAAGCCGCCGGCAGGAGGACCTGCCCGACCTGAGTCCAGCGCAGACCCGAGAAGTCCGCGCGGACCGTCAGAGGCCCGTGCCCTGTGCAGCGCCCCCTCCTCCTCCGCGGCGGAGGGCGCCGCGGGCCCCCGCGGCCTCCCTCGGCGTGGCCGGCGGCGCGCGGCACTCGCCGCCTGAGCGGCCGCGCCGCCGCTCCCCCCCCCGCAGGGCGGAGCGCAGCGCGAGCGCGACGCGCCGGTGCCGGCGCGCTGTCGGCGGGGCCGCGGGGAGGGGGCCGTCCCCGCGGGCGCGCCCGCCGGGGCCTCTTCGGCCTCGGGCCGCCGTCGCCTCGTCGTCTCGTCGCCTCGTCGTCGTGGTGGCGTCGTCGGGCGTCGCCGTCGTGGCGTCGGCTCGTCGTCGTCGCGTCGCCAAGGCAGGAGGCAGGAGGGAGGGAGGAGGGGGGGAGGAGGGGGGGAGGAGGGCAGGAGGGAGGGAGGAGGACGAGGGAGGGAGGAGGCGGGGGAGGAGGGAGGGAGGAGGAGGGGAGGAGGAGGCAGGAGGGGAGGAGTTCTCGGAGGGCGTCCTGCCTCGGGGGGGGGCCCCAGAGCTGCCCGAGCGGCCGCCGGAGACCCGAGCCGTGGCCTGGAAGCCGAGCATTCGGAGGAGGGTCAGTCAGAGCCCCGAATCATCAGGGGTAACTCGGGTCAGGGACAACTCGGGTTCGCTTTTCGGGAATCCAGGCCCGAGGCACCCCGGACCCGAGTTGCCCCGGACAACTCGGGCGTCCAGAGCCCCGCATCATCAGGGGCAACTCGGGCCAAGGCTAAGTCGGGTTCCTTTTTCGGGAATCCAAACCCGAGTTACCCCGGACCCGAGTTGCCCCGGATAACTCGGGCGCGCAAGTCAGTCTGGTGAGACAGTGGAGGTTCGGAGTGACCGCACGGTCTCGGGATTCGTGTCGTTCTCCGATAACGTCAAGGGTGATGGGGGCCTCCAAGGGCCCAACAGCCGAGCGACGGCGGGCCGTGCGGCGAGGTCTTGCGGAACTGTGAGGTCACCGCAAGGTCTGTCGCTGCACCGCTCGGGGACCCTCAACGCACGG